CAGTCCCCACCTGGGACAGGGACCACGTCGGCATCACTCAGTCCCCACCTGGGACAGGGACCACGTCGGCATCACTCAGTCCCCACGTGGCACAGGGACCACGTCGGCATCACTCAGTCCCACCTGGGACAGGGACCACGTCGGCATCACTCAGTCCCCACGTGGCACAGGACCACGTCAGCAGCACTCAGTCCCACCTGGGACAGGGACCACGTCGGCATCACTCAGTCCCACCTGGGACAGGGACCCCATCAGCATCACTCAGTCCCACCTGGGACAGGGACCACGTCAGCATCACTGAGCCCCCACGTGGCACAGGGACCACGTCAGCAGCACTCAGTCCCACCTGGGTAATGACGATGTCAGCATCACGTGCGCAGAGCCTACCTGTGTGACGGACCATTTCAGCACCACGGGGCGCGTGATGCAGGGGAATGCCTTGTTGAGCAGCCGCAGCACCCGGGACTCCTCCTGGGAAATGGGTGACTTCTTGTTGAGGCAGTAGGTCATGGTGTCGTGGCTCCCTGCGGGCAGAGCACACGTGGGCATGCCTAAGTGCACGTCTGCATACGTATGTCCCATGTGTGCACCTACATGCACGTGTGCATGTGTGCATACTTATGTGTATGCATATGTACATGAGTACATGTGTGCATATGTGTGTGTGCTTGTGTGCATGTGTGTGGATACTGATGCCTATATGCATATGTGTATGTGTATATACATGTGTGCATATGTGCACACCTACATGTATGTGTATATACATGTGTATACATGTGCGCTCATGTGTGCATTTTTCTATGCACATGTGCCTGTGTGCGTGTGTACCTGTGTACACGTGTGCATGTGTGTGCATGCCTCTGTGTACCTATGTGCACGTGTGCATGTGCGTGCATGCCTGTGTATACATGAGTACATGTGTGCATGTGTGCGCACACCCATGCCTATGTGTATATGTATACGCACACATGTGTGCACTGTGCATGTGTGTGTGCACATCAGCGTGCACATAAGTACATACATGCCCACACATACATGCACATGTGCATAGAAGGAACACGAGCACATATGTATGCACCTGTATATGCACGTGTGCATGTGTGCATGCTTATGTGTGCAGATACTCATGCCTATGTGCATATGTGTATGTGTATATACGTGTGTGCATGTGCACTTATATGTATATGTACATGTGTATACATGTGTGCTCATATGTGCATTCTATGCACATGTGCCTGTGTGTGTGCATGTGTGTACGTTTGTGCACGTGTGCATGTGTGCGTACCTGTATGCCTGTGTATACGTGAGTACGTGTCCACGTGTATGTGTGTGCACACTCATGCCTATGTGTGTATGTATACGCACACATATGTGCACTGTGCATGTGTGTGTCCACATCGGCGTGCTTTGTGGGATTTCCCTACACACAGGATTGCTCCCACAGCAGGCACCTCCACTGGGGAACACGGGGCCACGGCCCCCACCCCTCCCGCCCACACCTGGGATGGAGAGGTGGTGGAGGGGCACATCCCACAGCCGGGGACACAGCTCCGACATCCAGTCCTCGTTCGCATTTCTGCAGCGCAGGCCTGAGAAGCTGCTGGAAGCGCCCGCCGGCCCGCCCATCAGAGGTGAACCGTGGGAAGCAACCTGAGGGAGAAGAAGAGAAAAGAGGTTTTCCGCGGTTCAATTTGTGCTGTTGGCAGGCACAGTGGCTCATGCCCGGCATCCCAGCACTTTGGGAGGCCGAGGCGGGCGGATCATGAGGTCAGGAGTTCGAGACCAGCCTGGCCAACATGTTGAAACCCATCTCTATTAAAAATAGAAAAATTAGCTAACTTCCTGCAGAAACGGTACCCCCACTGGCCATCATGCCACGAGAGCACAATGAACAAAGGTAAACACACACATATATCCCTGACGCGTGTGGGGTCGTCCTTCCTGCCGTGTCTGATCTCCGTGAGCTGGAGCCAGACCTCACCATCTAAACTAAAACCCGACGGGCTGACAAAACTTTTCTAAACAGGTGAAAGCCACGGAGAGCTGGGACACGCCTGTGAGCACGTCCAGCACAGGTATCTCGGTGAAAGTACGAGGACATAGAATGTTCTACGTGCCCGTGAGCACGGCATGTCTAACAGCTGCATAGCATAGGGCTTCTAGCAAAAAGGCAAGAAGGCTTTTGAAGGAAGTGTTTAAAACTATTATTTCTAACCCTTATGAATTTTTATTAAGAAACAAAACTTTGGCCGGGCGTGGTGGCTCGCGCCTGTAATCCAAGCACTTTGGAGGCCAAGGCGGGCAAATCACCTGAGGTTGGGAGTTCAAGACCAGCCTGACCGACATGGTGAAACCCCATCTTGAAAAATAAAAATAAATTAAAAAAAAAGAAACAAAACTTTGAAGACGAATTTTTTTTCCTTCCCACAGTTTAATTTGCAGGGCCCCAGCTGCAGAACCTAACAGTGTCACGGAAGAGTTCTCTTTCTTTCCCAAGCATGTGGAAGCGAAAGACAGAGAGAGAGAGAGAGAGAGAGAGAGAGAGACAGAGAGAGAGAGAGAGGTCCAGAGCCACCCGGGGCACCCCCCCCCACCAACAAATAGTTGGCAAAGCCTCTTTCCTGGGGTGACTGCAGCACGTCTCTTGCCTTCTGGGCAGGCCCCACCCTGAGATCACACGTTAAGCCCTCCAGCCTAGGACAGTGAAAAGGTCCCCACAGGTGATTCCATGGGGTCTCCCAGCTGTGGGATCTCCCAGATGTGGGGCTTCCCAGATGTGAGGTCTACTAGGCACGGGGGCCTCAATCCTGGGTGTGGCAGAGCCACGTAACGCACTGCCTTGGGGGGGGCCCAGGTCCTGCACCTCCCAGCCTGGCCCCCACAGGGGCTTTACCTCCCTCTGTTGGGGTATCGGGCCGTGGTGCGGGAAATCTCTCTGAGGAAGGTTCCCAGGCTTATAGAACAAGGAAAACAAAGCCGGGCGCGGTGGCTCACACCTGTCACCCCAGCACTTTGGGAGGCTGAGGCGGGCGGATCACGAGGTCAGGAGGTCGAGACCAGCCTGACCAACATGGTGAAACCCCGTCTCTACCAAAAAGACAAAAAAGTTGGCCAGGCGTGGTGGCGGGCACCTGTAGTCCCAGCTACTCGGGAGGCTGAGGCAGGAGAATCGCTTGAACCCGGGAGGTGGAGGTTGCCGTGAGCCGAGGTCGCACCACTGACCTCCAGCCTGGCGCCTGGCGATGGAGTGAGACTCTGTCTCAAAAAGAAAAAAAAAACACCACGGAAAACAGGTTTTTGTTTTGTTCTGTTTTGACATGGCGTCTCACTGTGCTGCCCAGGCTGGAGCGCACTGGCGCGATCTTGGGTTCGGGCGATCCTCCTGCCTCAGCCTCCCAAGTCGCTGGGATCACAGGCGCCCGCCGCCACACAAGGCTATTTTTTTTTGTATTTTTTTTTCTTCTCTTCTTTTTTTTTTTTTTTTT